GTGTGTGTGTGTGGTAGTGGTTGGTGTCGTGTGTGTGTGTTGTGTGGTGTGGTGTGTGTGTGTGTTCGATGTGGTGTGTGTGTGTGGTGTGTGTGTGTGTGTGTGTGTGTGTGGTGTGTGTGGTGTGGTTGTGTGTGTGTGTGTGGTGTGTGTGTGAGCGCATGCTCTTGAGTAGACTGAATGTGTGTGTGTGATGGAGAGAGAGAGAGAGAGAAAGAGAGAGTGTGGTGGAAAAGGCACCTGGGTTGTCACAGAGGGGCTGGAGCTTGGCAAGCTCCACACGCGACAGTAATGCCCAGAGGGTGGGAGAGAAATATGAAAGGGAATGGAGCCAGCTCAGGAGTGTGTGTGCATTACCGAATGTGTGAAGAATTAATTCAACACAAAGAAAAACATCTTTTGAACATATATGTTGCAAAACAAACCTAAATCAATGACAAATTTTGTTTAATTTTGTCCACTTTAGGGGACTATGCTCTGTGTTCTAGTTGTGTAGTAGAGCAAGCACGCAAATATGTGTTTTCTTCAGACCTAACAAACAAGAATCATATTCCTTCTTATTTAGTTAAAATAGTTAAGTTAGTTCTTAACTGTCTCTTTGTTGGGAAGCAAAGAGGATTAAACAGATAGTCCTGAGTGCGCTGCACACCTCTCTCCCACCATGTGTGAATTCATGCTTTGTTTTACTGTATATCCAAAATAGCATGTACAACCAATGTAGCAGGTAACAAATATATGTAGATCACACTCAGGGATTCATTCCCTGGTGACTGTATCTTAAAATAGTAAAAATGGCTTTTGAATGTTTGTTCATGATTGTGAGTAATTTTTTGTGGCGTGTGTGGTTATAGAATACATCTGTCCTCTTGGCCTCCCTTGCTTGCTGTCTGACCCTGCAGCTGTCACGCTATTGCCACGCGGTCTATTAAGCACACAACATGCACATAAGCACAACCACACTCAGCTATACAACCCATATCATTAGGGGCTGATGTCAGCTGCAATATCCCCCCCCAGTCTTCTTCAGTTTCTCGTGACAAAAAAAGCTAAAAAGAACCTTCTATATAGCTGAATGAGGCTTCCGTCTTAACAAGTTTGCTTTGTGCTTTCTTAGAGTTAAAACCATCGAGTCCAATGTGTTCCAAGTTTCCTCTAACTGACTGTGTGCGTCTGTGCTTTCTCATCAGGGCAAAAGGTGGGGCCTGGGGGAAGTCACCCCTGATGAACAGCCCTGTTCAAAATCAGGTGAAGCCGTAAATCGGTGCAGCCGAATCGGACGGAGAGGGATGCCCAAGACCATTGAGATCAAGTCCATCCATCACGGTTGGCCAATGTTCATGTTTGAGTAACCTACGGCCTGAATAATAGATAATAATATAATAATAATAATAATAAATAATAATCATATAATATAATATAAATATAATAATATAATAATACACTAATATACATATTGTTATTATTTTATTATTATATTATTTTCATTGATTTTGATATTATTATGTATTGTTTTCTGTTGTTGCTATCAATACTATGATTTGTTGCTTCTGTGTGTGTCCCAAAAAAAGATACTCATTAAATATTATTTTCTTTCTTTTCTAAGATATTGCGGAACACACACACACACACTTTTGCTGCCCTCTCTGGTGGTGGGAATCAAAGGTCAGCTAGCTAAGGGCAGGGATTAGGCAAATGCATCTCATAAAGGAGACCACACTGGACAGGGCCAAGACCGCAGCTGCTCTAACCTTTCACGTCCTCACTTGCCATCCAAGTGACAACTCTGTTAGCCAAACGGAAACTTTTTTAGAATCACAAAAGATGCTATTGTTTTTACTTCTCATTTATATGCTACATTATTATCCTTTTTTCTTGTAACTCAGTACATTAGCAACTAGGAATTTAACAGAGTTCAGGCAAAAGAAGCTCAACAAACCTACAGTGAAAATCAGGTACCTGACCTCATTCTGCAAGAACACAATACTGCAAGAACACAATACTGCACACCTCCGCAATTTTATGAAACCCAATGTGTGAAGAGTGAGGAAGAGAGTCAAACATCTAACGAACCAAAGGGATTGACACATTTTTCTTAGGATTTTTACGGACCACGCCAAAAGGCAGGTCAATACTGGCCTTACAGTGAGAAAGAGGACTCCAATGAGGCAACACATTACCCAGAAGAACTTGACACACTGCTATAGCACTTTATATGAAAATCCCCTCTAGCAATCAAAAATCACTCCATGCAGGTTTTACCTCATCATTGTTCTTACCAATTGCAAGATTTTATTGTATTCTACTCCAGCGTGCAGTGTGAGAGTATTATTTCACAACAAGGGTTTTATCATCACACAACACAAGTTTCATTCATCCTTGAGGTGTCGGAGCACTACAAGTGGATACATGTCTGTGTTATGTAGAAATGTGTCGTTAGAAAGAGTAAGAGTTACTTTGTTTATTCACACAAACATTCACTGAATCATATTGCCACTCTCTCATTAAAACTCCTTACACACTTTCACTTCATTTCCCAACTTCTATAAATCAACATGGCTTTCCTGGTGAACAGTATCAGTCCATATGCAATAAATCCATGTTTGTCATGGTATGGTATGTCTCCTTGGAGGCGTGCTGACATGCTTTCTAGCTGTGTGCACAAAACACTGCCACCGGGTGCAGGGCCTGAAATCAGACTACCATCATCCTAATATTCCCTAAACATAAACACTTAAAATGTCTTTTCAACATATTATTGTTGGGTAAACTGTATTTCAGTGTGTGATAAAAGCACATTTGGACATTCCTTTCTCTGAAGATAACATGTGCATAGGTTTATTTCTGTTTGATATGTGCATGATCCTGCATGCATGTACACAGGTGCATTCATGGAAAATTGTGTATGTGCCTGTAAGTGTACATAGATTTGATGGTGGGACCACACTGGCGGTGTGTAGCTGTCCCCTAAGGAAGAGTGAGCTTTAGCTTGTCAGTGTAATTGCCATCATTATGCCACTTTCTCAGCCTGACAGCCTCCTTTTATCCACTCAAATATGTGTGTGTGTGGGTGTATGTGTGTGCATGTGTTGTGTTTGTTAGTTACATCATTGGCAAACAAAAAAAGCTTTTTGAGGAAGGCACCATGCTGGCTGACTCTTAACAGAATAACTGAAGTAGAAGGACATCAAAGGACAGCCAAGGAGATGGTTCATGAAAAATGTAATAAAGAAAAAACAATAAAAGGGTATTTTTCAGGTCAGAAATTCTTGTTTCATAAGACAATGAGAATAAATGTACACCGAGTCTGTACTATTATGTATTTTGGCTTGATGCATACTGGATCACCTTCAGTAAGAAAATGTAATGTTTCAAAGGACCAGTGGGTAGGATTTAGTTGCATCTAGCAGTGATTTTTCAGATTGCAGCGCCTCACCCTCCTGTTCCCCCAACAATGAGATCCCCATCTAGAGCCAGGGTTTGGTTTGTCCATTCTGAGCTACTGTAAAGTCTTTTCCAGTTGATTGTACACTAATGAAAATATACCTATTAATATTATGTTCCATTTATGCCAATACGTCCTCTTAAATGGTACACACTGGACCTTTAAATTGTTACCATCTGATTTTTTTTTTGCTCAATTCAGTACTAAGTCAATAACTGTACATTTGGAAGCAATTACAGCCTCAAGTCCTCTCAGATACATCTGTGTCAGTTTAGATTATTTTTTGTTTTGTTTTATCCAAATCTAACTTGAAGGCAGAATCAAGCTCAATGTCAAGCTCAAGGTCGGGCTGGATGGCCTTGACCAACCTTTATTCATAAAATATATATTTTTATATGCAATTATTTAGCATTAGCAACACATGTTTTCAACTTTTTACAGTTTAATTTGCCCCCAACCAAAGCATAATTAAGCCATGGTTAAGTTCGCGTATGTAAAACCACTTGGTTAAGGTGAGGGGAAGATTGTTGTTATGGTTAAGTTTGTGCCCCATCCATCTTGACATCCACACTTACTTCCCATTGTGCTATTGTGACACTGCTCCTGGCATTGGCACTCAATTGCTGTTGCAAATTAGCCACATATGAACATCATTTGTGGGAGACAAGGTTAGGGTTAACAAAACAAAATAACACTGCAAAAGCAGGAAAAGTCAAGGGGGCTGAATACTTTCTGAAGGGACTTGATATTTTATCTTTTTTCCAGATGGAGAGAGCAAGAACTCAACAGCAAAATTCCTGTCCATGTAGCTGTTGTTCTGGATGTTTTTCAGGGCTTTTTTCTTCTTAGTTGCAGATTAAAAATGAAACTTTTGAACTGATTTTAATAAATGTTGAATTAAATGTGTGACGTCTATGTCAGACTCACCCACAACCATGATGTTGAGCTCGAAGCCCTGCTTCATGGCCTTTCTCCTCATCTGCTCCAGGATGGCATCGATGCCCACGTAGCTGAAGTCGCTGCCATGGGTCTTCTCCCCCTTACCTTGTGGGGTAGGATGGTGTGGCTTAGCGGACTCTGACATGTTGCTGTGGCTCAGATTGACCTCTGACCCTGAGGGATGCAGATAAAAGACAAAGGGCAATGAAATCAACATATATGTTCATGTGTGTCTTAGATCTCCATGTTATGATTTCAGGTTCAATATACAATCATAAAGCATGACTTTTACACAGTTAGGTGTACAAAATGGAGGCAATGCAAACGCAAGTGAAATCATATTAACTGCAGATTACACCCAGTTCAGTGTGAAGCCTGCAGAAGATACTGATCTGAGCAGTTCATTTCCTGTGTGAAACAGGATATGCCAGACTTTAAATTCAAATATATGAGCACCCACCTCTATATAAGACAGTACTAAAAGGTGATAATTTGCCATTTAAACTATCTGCCAAAAACCCAACAGGGAGTGGTGCAGATGTGTATGCACACACATCAATTAACAAGATTCATTCAATAAAGAATTCTTGTTTTCCCAGTGGTCCTTACTCAAGCACATACAGTCAACTGTAAAACTAACCAATAAATCATATGACAACAGGCACACATCTGCTCCTTAATGTTGCATACATTTTGACTAGCAACAACCTCATGTTAGCAGCACAACCCACAAGAGAAATTCTGACATTTCAGAAATAAATGATGTGAAAGTTGTAACCAAAGTTAAGGAGTACAGCTGCAGATTAGAAGTGAATTTCATAATCCTTAAAGACTTAGAAAGACCAAATGAATAGACATTGTTGGGAGAGAGCTCTGCCAACTACAAATCACAGCTTACCTCACTTCGAGGAGGATCGTTGCTAGAAGACAAAGACTGTGTGCCAAGGCACCTCTGCAACAAGCAAAGTAAAACACAGCTCAGCTCTGCCAAATGTGCTAGTATGTGCTTGCAGCAGCAGAGACTCGCACTCTTCTTCATGTAGGAGGAGACACCATTTCCTGTGCTATGACAGAAACCTGTGGTATTTTCTGTGTGAGGTTTGCAGTCACAGACACTATAAACCACACACACTATACCTGAAGCTTAATGTAGACAGCCATTCCGACTATCCAGCCTGCATGCAGACAGGTACATTGGATATGACTGGGCTGTTTTAGATCTATTATTTTTCTCAAATAATAGTTTTGTAAGCTTTTTTCTGAAGGACATAGTGTGCTTTGTGCTTATGGCTTGTCTGACATGACACAGTGTCAGCCTGCTTGTTTACAACATTGTGCCTGTTGGTGATACATATGACACATAAATAACAGTGGAAGATTTTCTTATATCATTCCCGCTCAGTATTTCCTTCCTGTCCCAGAAACCATAAGATGAAGGTGGGAGACAGTGGGAGGTTGTAAAAGACATGTGATCTCGCTAAGACTATTCATTTTCCAGTTTTTACTATAACTATGAAATACAGACTTTCCACAAGAAAAAAGCCCTCCTTTGGCTCTCTGTGACTTTGTCCTGGGAAAAGTGTTGCTAATAACCACTTTGCACCCCTTTTAGCACTGCGGGTGCTTTTAATTTAAGGCCAAAACTGGGACTTGATGGTATGTCTCAAAAGATTTTGTGTTAGCACATCTTAATTAGACCATGTGATTGAATCTGCATGTTTTTCTACTTCACACATCAATGTGCAGTTATTTACTACACAATCTCTCCCTCCTATACATTTGCACACCTTAAACACCTTACAAATCCAAGGTCATGGGGGCATTCATGAGTCAGCTGAATTTTGTGGCATATCTCCATGAGAAAGGGTACCACAGCAGCAGTCTCTATAGTATTGGTCTTTCCAGTGTTCAATTTTCAAGTGCACAGTAATGGTTTAATGATGAACTGTTCTGTGATATATTGTGATGCTTGGCTAAAACGCAATAAATCCATTGCTAAAATCTTGGGAAAATAAGAACCATCCATCCTTCTGTGCACATTATCAGGCAGCAAATTATCAGTATCAGTAGGTTTTGGTTTTGGCACAATAACTTCCACAACAACAAAGAGACAATTTCCCTTTATGCTAGGACATTTGTTTTATTAGTAAAAAAAGCAACCCTGACATTCATAGTACAGTTCAATCCATTCTGTAATGTGAACCTTCTGTTAATACCTCGTCACGGTGGGCTGGAGCAGATCTAGTGCTGAATTGCTGTCCTCAAGAAACCTGACACAGAAATGCAGCGTCTTGGAAGTGATCCAGTAATCCTGAGGTATTTGGATCAATTTATCTTTAGCCTATGAAATGTGTTTGCAAATGTTAGCATAGTGTCACAAAGCGTCAGTTGGCTAACCCTGAACTGAACTGTTTTATTGAGGCCAGTTGCATCAGTAGCCTCTTGAGTGACAGAATACAGATTAGCTCTAATGACATACTCTAAGTCTGCAACTGAACTGCCTCCTGGGCACCATGACCATGCCAACCCTGGGCCATCTGCTGGCTTACATGGCTACTCTCTAAGAATAGACAGTCACACTCAAACACACAGGCGTAGTAAGAAGAACTGGCGAGACACATGCATCGGAAAAAGGAAGAAGAAAACGGCAGTGCCAGGACTGTACAAAATGTTACCCAGGCTGTGAACCACCCTTCTGCTGTGATATTCACTTCTCTTTCTTATAGCCCAACTGTGCCTTTTCATTTCCATCAGTACTGCTTCCTAATGATATACATTCATTCTCAGGGCTAAGGCTGAGTTTGCCATTAGCAATCGCCTTTCACTGCTTTTTTACATAACTATTTATGTGACAGAGTGACAGTTCTGCCATTTGCATCCACAACAGCCTCTAAAGCATCTCTGCATGAGTCAGACCTGCCTTTGATGCTCCACAAAGAAAGCGTTAATAACCTTTTCTGGATGAGTAACTCGTTACAAATGAGCAGAGACTTCCAGTATGACTCAGATCACGACTCAGTGGCCTCAGCCGTTGAACACTAACTGTTCTCAAATAAGACAGACCCAACGGATGCATCAAAATAGAACAATGTATCAGACATGTGAGAATTATCTGGAATAAAATTCCTTTGAGGAGCAGTGTTTTATTTAACTGAAGCCAAAAAAAGCCACAGTGAGCCAGTAGGGTGCCCAGTTCCTTCAAATAAAAAAAAATTGGGAAATGGACCTGTGCAGAGGACCAAACAGGTGCAACGATGAACCTAAATTGACCCGTCAATGAAAAAACATATAAAAATATTTGGATTGCTCTAACCTCCCTTCATTAATATGAAGTCTCCAACTGAAAACAGCTTTATTAAACTGCAAACAGATGTTGTATGTGAAGATCTCTTCCAATAAATACATTAAGCAGAGGAGAGGTTGTGCCTCGTGACATGCAAAAGCGGCACTTCAGGATTAGGAGAGCTTTGTTTAATGAATGGAGATGAGTTCATGCTTTTTCTTTGCATGAATGGATAGATCCCATCAAAGAGATGACTAGTCCTTATCTTCAAATAAGGGCACTTATAGTTGAATCGGGCCCGTTTCAAGTTTCATCATTGGCATTTATGTATGTATTCTTACATTTCTGAAGATGAAATTGTGCTTTTTGTTCTTGCTGTGCATTTCACACATACTGCACATTGCTCTTTAAAATATGAGTTTCTGTCATGTGTCTTATCAGTATTATGGTAGTCATCTGGTTTCCTGTTTGTGACTGAGCGCCTCACAACAGACAAAACCACAGCATTTATGGCCGCACTAGAAGAGTTTGCAGCTTACAGGGGTACTCCACCAATTTTACACATGAATGTGAGTTTATTCATCACAAGGAGTACTACTCATCTTGTAAAAACATTTGTATGACGTTTTCTGTGGCTCTGGAGGGAGTTTAGTCAAGTCTGAGAATATAATCATGATGATGTGATCAGGGTTATCCGGAGGTTATTTTGGAGACATCACTTTTTTAACTTTTTCAGTTGGGGCAAGGGGTTTGAAAGAACTGGACATTTACCAGGTAGGGAGGATATAATAAAAAAATGCAACCAATCTGCATTATGGGAATTGTAGGATCCACTGTTTTGAACCATGACCCACACTAGGAACCTAAAGTAAAGATATTTCTGCCTCTGTTCCTTCAATTTTGAATGTTATTTTTCAAATTTGTCTCTCGCAAGTCTCCTAACTTTGTGGAAGTGAAATACCCAACTACGAAGTCCTATGTATTGTACAGTACCAGTGCATAGTAAGGTAAGATAAGTCATTACTGTTACTACTGCATCAGTGTGTTGAAAGGCGTCTGAAAGACCTGTGACAAAAAAAATTCTCTCAGTTGTAACTATTAAATTATTTTGGGCAGGACTACCGAAACCCCCAATGCACACAGCCAGTAACAATGATAAATGGTATACAGACTTAAAGTGAAAGCACTCCGATTTCTTGGAAAACAGAGCAAAAATTTATTTTTGTTAATCCTGAATGCCAGCATAGCTCAGTAGAGACCAGAAAACACAAAACTGCTTTCAGGCAGCATTTTTCTCTGGCCTCAACCTTCACAAAAAAGTAATACATCATGTTAATATTTCAAAAAGTATGCAACATGTAAACATTTAGCTGACAGATATCAGTAACCACAATCCTGAAGCATCAAACCACTTTGTTCCTTCCTGAAACTGACCTGTAATCTAACCCTCCTGGAAAACTAACACAAAGTGTTCCCCTTCCATCAGATACAAGTTTCTAACATAGAATCCCATTCCCACTTCAGACTCACACATAACTCAACACTCCCATCTCAAGCCCTTCATTAAAATCCCATCAGGCACATCACATCCAACCCTACATTTAATATTCACTGAGTGAAATGTGCCAATTCCAGAAACAAAGCCTTCATTGTCTTCTTGAAGACCCTCCGAAAAAACAAAAAAATCCAGTTTCCTTCCATCCACAAGCATCACATCATCACTTCAGCCCTACTTTAAATTATATGAAAAAGTTTTTTGTATGATATTTCAGCCCTGGTAATATTGGCATGGTAAATATCCTGCAGGAAGGGGAAGAAAACACAGGGAGAAAGACAGAGACTAACCAAAATCAAAAAATGGTTCATGACGTGCACAACATGTAATTATTTC